GAGAGAGAGAGAGAGAGAGAGAGAGAGAGAGAGAGAGAGAGAGAGAGAGAAGAGGAGCTTGTAAAAGCGTCGTGACGCGTCGGTCGAGTCGCGACGCGACACGACCAGACGGGATGCGACGAAACGGGACGAGACCAGACGAAACGAAACGACTAGCCCAGACGAGGGCCAATGCCAAGTACTCGCGATACCCCGAAACGAATGACATCTCGTTGCCAGCGATGACCCTGGATCCAGAGATGGCCAATATTCTTATTTAGGTAACTATCTCGAATAATGAATATTTTTATTGGTATAAGAGAAAAATGCAACTCCAGACAATCGAGACAATAATAACGAGAACAATTAAAAGATATACTTTCTCACACGTCGTATGTGTAATTAGATGTTCATTTGAATTTAAATTTTAAATGAAATGTTAAAAAACAATGCATCAATCAATTGAAAATGTGAATAAAAACCATTTAAAAAGTTACCTCTTCCTTAAAATTTCCATAAAACAATAATATATTGAAAAATTGACTCTTCCACAAAATTTCTAGAAATATATTCATCACTAAAGAAATTCCTTTCAACGTGATCAAAGGAAACATGCGAGCAAGTATGAACTAATGGTATAGTAGCTTTAATGATAAATTAGCGAAAAGCAATATTAAATATCATTTTTCATTTTGATTATTCGATCTCGTCGCATAAATAATTAAACAGACCCATTTATTAGATTATGTCAGCATTTTTCTTTCGAAGCGCGGCACCGTCGCGGAAGATGTTCGCTGGGAAACCTTGAAAGTCGTGAAAGATTTCCATATGTAAATCGTCGGGGCCGCGAAGGGGAGGAAGGAAAAGTTGGGGAACGTAGAAAAATTCAAGCGCAGAAGCCACGAGACAAGACGAAACGAGACCAGAGTAGTCGAGGGCCAATGCCAAATCCCCGACACGGTTGACAACCCCGTCCAAACGGAACACGAAGACGAAGACGATGAGAAAGAAAAAGGAAGGGAGAACACGAGAGGAAAGCTTTAAGCTGCGTTCACCCTGAAATCGAAAATAGGAAAACCTATGCAGGTAGAAACTTCATACAACGAATAAAAAAATAAACAACTTCAAGTACGTCATTTGTCTAATAATAAAAATTGATCCGAATGACAAACTAAACTGTTGAATCATTACATATGAATCTGTAAAAGAAGTTAGAAGTAGTTGGAATATCCACCTGACGCTTACCGATTAAGTTTCCGCGATACTTAACGACGACTCGCTGTATCTTTATAACGAAGCTTTGGATTGCAAAGTGGAAAAGGACTTTCTGGTTTCATTACAAGTGCGGAATCGATGTTGAAGAGGTCATCAATCTTAGTCATCATATCCTGTACAGAGCGATCATTATTCGTTTTCTTTTATTCCAAAGGATCCTAAATGATAGGTGTCTTTGATAAGAGAAAGTTATTTCAATGGACAGAACTATTGCGAGCAGATCAGACCGGTGAGTCGTCGAAATATACTTCCGCATTGGAAATTTGTTTCCTTCCGAACGAACGCAGCGACGATTTCCATAAGCATCCTCGCAGGCGCATTTAAACTTTTCCAATTCCGTGGCATTTCATTTTCCAAATGGTCGAAGCAACCGTCTTTCTCGTTTTTTCTCTCGCCATTCTTTGCCCCCTTCTGTTCTGTCTCGCGCAAAGACACCGGAACGCGCTTTCTTTTTTCCCCTCGGTTCGAACGGGTCGCGGGGAAACGTCAGGAAAGTTTTAGAAGGTCGTTTCTCCGACGGCTGCTTTTTCTTTGGTTTCGTCGCCCGCCCTAGAAATCGTTTGCAGTTTACTCGACAACGAAGGACGTCCCGCTGGTTTCCGAACAGAGACGTGCAAAATTCTTTTCAAATAATAGATGACGAATGAACGCGTTACATATACATGTATATAGGATGTTGACCAGAATATAAGATTTCTTCAGGATGAATTCCATGCACGAAAAGAAAACGAAAAGCCCTTTTTCATTTTTCAATCTGAGACTTCGTTCACGAGATATGGCATATGTTCGTTAAGTGTCGCGTGGTCATCTCCACTATAGCTTGGAACTGCTGCCATACTTTGCATGCTTTTAAGCAAGTAAGATTAAAAGTGTAGAAAGTAGCTAAAAATTTCTAAAAATTGAATACTGATTTTATAATGTTTACTCACTTTTTATAAAGAGTGAATATTATGTACGCGATAGGACCGAAATGCAATTGCATTTAATGATAAATAAATGCGGTACTGAATTTCAGGTATTATTCAAATTAAATGTAATACTAATTAAACGCGAGTAATAACCGGGGACAATGAAATTCGATTAAATCAATGAAGAACGGGGTGGTAATGTTCGATTATGTTACAGAATGAAGTTAACGTATTAGTTGATGCAAGGGAAACGAAAAATAAACTACGAATAGTGGACTCGCGTAGAGTTATACATAGACGTATACATAGATATACATAGATACATATGGAGATGGGATAGAGATACATATGGTAGATATACATAGATTTACACGTTTTTTTCAATATTTTTCAAAAGTTTTACCCAAATCTCGCTAAAAATGGACGCGAATACTGTTTCACGCGGATCTACACGTTTCGATAATTTTCTAACAAATTTCAAATTGAATGTTGTTACAGTTCACTCGAGGCATGAAAAATTGAATCTCTAGGGGTTTATACACCAGTTAATACATTAAGTGTTTGGACAAAAAATCATCCGCCATGAAAAGTAGGCCGCGGAGCATAGCAAGAAAAAAATTTATACGGTCGATGGAATATATATTAAACGAACAATTTAATATAAATTTTGCAATAAAGCTGAGCGAAGTTTCAAATGGTTATTTAATTTTAATTAAATTCAGGTTTTTTTCAAAATGTATCTTCCTATTTTACTCTTGCAGATCATCACCAGAAACGATACATAGGAATGTATTGGGTTTTAGGTGGATAGTTAAACAATATCACGTTTCAAGTTTAATTTTAATCACGCATACTTTCGTTTCAAATGTTCAAAAATGTAGATATTCCATACCGTTTATATTTTATTAAAAAACAAAATCCTAAAGTCCCCTTTGGAAAATCCTTCATATTTTATATCTGGCTCTTTTGCTGTTAATTTACAAAAATCAAAGACGAAGATACGCGTTCGCATTTAAATGTAAACGAATGAATATATTTATATAATTTTATTCAGAAATCGGTATGTTCCTCTGTTTGTCGTGAACGTGGCTTAATCTAAGGTCGTTTAAAAGCGATGACGAAGGTGGTGGTTGAAGTAAGACAGTAAAAAGAAAGACTCGCGAGTTTCAAGACGGAATCTTCATGCCTGACTCAGAGTCCAAGACTAAGTCAGCAACTATAAGCACAGATTTCTATTCCTGGCGAACTCAGTCGTGGACCCCCATGGACTCTCACTTGACGCTTTTGTTGTATGTACATCGTAGAGTCCCTTTCTGTACAAAGACTTCCTTTAACTAAGAAACCAGATCTTTCCAACTTTTATTAAAACATTCTACAAAACGAAAAATCAAATCAAAAATCAAATAATTCTAGAAAATAAATAATACAAAAACAAATAAATAATACAAAAACAAATAAAAAATTTATCAAAAAGAATGCTTTGACAAACATATAAAGGTATCAATTAATATTTGACCAACAATTTCAATTAATTGCAACAGTCATGAGTATTTAAAAAATAAATTTAAATATTTTAAAATATTTTATAATTTTGTTAAAACATCACACTTAAATGACAAATTGTTACAATACGATATTAAACTGGGACACGTTTTTAACTTGATATTCAAATATTTTCATTTATTATTCTTCTTTTATATCAATAAATCACGAACAGCATAATTGGAGTTGTTTAATTACTGCAACAAATGAATTATGTGGACTGCAAACGAGAACCAACATATTATATTATTTTTCATAATTCGTAGGTTAAGAAAAAAGGTTGAGATAATTATTTTTGTAAAGTTAATAAGCAAGATAAATTTTGGTAATTTCTTAAACCGTCTATGGACTCGCGCTCTTAAACAGATAAGAATTCAATTGGCAGTCACTCGTTCGAGTTTGATCGATGGTGTCCACTTGAATGTAAGTTACACCGCCTGGTTCTGCGAATTTTACCGATAAAAGTAAGTGACTCGAGTGCTTGATAACCTCCAAGGCTCCAAGAAGATGTTCGCAAAAACACATATGAGTTCATGGCGTTATCGAATTTACCCCTCTATCTATTACTGATGTCAAAAATAGGAGTTCCTATTTAAATATTTCAAGTTGGTCCTAAACTAACCACCATGTTTGACCTATATCAGTATAGAAGTCGTAGGACTCTTTTTTAAATTCTACAACTTTTTCAATTAATATTTTTCTCTACAATGTTTCCTTAAGGAATTTTTAATGAAATATTGACTTAACGTTGAAAATACCTCTTCATGTCTAAATATGACAATATATTTGGGCGTCAAGTTTTTACATTTTACCCATGACTAGTATCAAAAATAGAACGTCTCGTTTTAATATTTCAAGTTGGCCCTGAAATGAGCTCTATATTTGAATGCTATGTGAAGGTCGAGGTTAATATCAAGTGCTCCCATCTGAATCCTACTGCTATTTCATTTTGCATAAGTCTATGTGCATATATTTATTATATTAGTTTATATTGTATTATAAATGCACAAAATCTCTAAACCTATTTAAACCTCAAATTTTCCGATCTATCTTTTCTAGTGGCAAAAACACCAGTTCCTATTTGAACATTTCAAATTAATCCTGAAATGTCCTTCACATCAAGTTACCTCTTCTTAAACCCTACGATTTCTTGTTTGTTAATTTTGTTTGAAAACTTAGGTAATTCTTCTAAAATATTTTTCCCCACTGTTCTTTGAACATGATATTTAATTTCGAATTCTTCATAATTTAAAAAAAAAAAAACTGTTTCTTTAGCGTTGACTCAAGTTTCGATGGTCCGTTCATTAAGACCCGACTGGCACCGGTAGTCCGTTTCGATTGAAACTTACGTGCGGCTCAACCTCTTACCTCTCGTTTTTATTTTTAACGAGAGAGTTTTTTCTTCACCGTGGGTAAGCGGCTTTTCCGGTTCTTTCGTTGATATCACGGTATCCGGATTTCCTCTTGTTCGCTTCGACGCGGAACGTTTCTTAATTATTCAACGGAAGCTTAACCCACCATCGCATAAATTTTATTTTATCTTTCGAAAAAGAAGTTATTTCATGATTATTTATATATTCAGGATTTAATTAGTTCCCGAGCTAAACAATAAGCAGCTGAGTCTGAGGAGATATTAAATTGGCTCATAAAACATCATACTCGAAGACTGGAAAATTTCCTTGGCGAATCTCACTACAGTTCATCAATAGCAAAGCTTGAGAAGCGTAAGAAACAAAAGCCGAAAATTTTGCAGCCTCAGAGGCAAACGGTAGTTTATTTTAAAAGGTTTCAATCTTAGATTAGAAGTAGATATATTTTAATAATATAATTGTAGTTGACACGTTTGATGAATTTACAAAGCTGAACGATAATTTTTTAAACTGAAACAGGAGACAGAAAAGTTTCTTGTATGGAATTGAAAATTTTAATCATGAGGTTTACACTAAACATTTTGTAATGAATTTTCTATAAAATACGATTGATTATAAATACTCTTTTATCATTCATGAATTTAAGAACTTTGATTAATACACTTTCTTCTTTTCAAGAATTCAAATACAGACATTTTTTCGGAAATTTCTGGATCTTGAATAGTATAGATATTTCATTAATTTTAAATTGTTCAGCCTATGTAGAGGACCTACTTAAAAAGTATTAATTAACAGCTTGAGATCTAAAAAATCTTGATTTTTTTAAACCACGATTAATAATAAATCATCCAGAATTTATTATATACCACATCACTTTCCTTAAAAAAACTATTAATCGAAAATCTATCGTTAAACTTCACAATTTCATATAAAAATTTTATTTTCTCTTACCTATAATATTCACACATGACTCAATTGTAAGGTTTCTCGGGTCTGCAGAATTTCAGTCTTTACAGGAATTACTTTTATTTATTATGGAATATATTATTTAATAGAGAGTTAAATAAATATTTGAGCGTTCGTTAACCGAATTAACGTTTAAAACTTAATTTACCCTGAGTATTCGCATTTTCAGAATATTAATAATTTCTCATTAATTCCGTAATTAATCCGCGAATTTATTCAACATTGATTACAGGCTTTAGATAATCCAACGGAATTGCTCGGCCCCTTCTGTCTGGAATTTTTTTCATTTTTACGCGTTTATGGCGAAGTCGAACTTTTCAAACGATCGATTAGCGAATGCACGTTTGCATTTCCATTGAGATTTTCCACACTTGATAATGAATTAGGAAAAATTGAATTGTTTATGACGGTACGAAAGCCGCTTTTCAATTTTCGACCGAACAAACACGTTATTGAGATTAAAAGCAAACACGTTCAATAGTTAACCGTTAGCAGTAAACGGAAATTTATACGTATTCCTTTTTTCAATATGTGTAATAATAACTTCATAATAATAATGCCTTCGCTAATACACCAAGATTATGAATGAAATTTGTATATGCGTTTATATTCTATAACTTTCATTGTAAATCACCAACTTCATTACCAATTTCGTCTATCCCACATATAATTAACGAATATATTTATTCTTTTTTATTCGTAATAACATATTGCTTGCAAGAAAATAGAATATAAAAAAATAATAAAGTATAATATCTTCTGTTTCTTTAGATAATACTGTCAAACACAATATATTATTCCCTCGATAAATATTAAATATTGTACACCTCAGACTGTTACTATCAAACCACTAATAATAATAATAATAATCAAGATTATTATTTTAATACAATACTTTCACTTCATTTCTTCTTTCTATTAGATATCTACGTAAAATAAAAATAAAATAAGAATATCTTGTGAACTGTTATTATTTCATGCTGAGTAAGGTATGAACTGTTCGAAGTAATTAATAAATAAATACGAACAGTTAAAGGAGACATATGCCACTCGACAGAAGTCTAACACGAGGTAAAGTAATTTTCGAAAGTGCACACGATGATATCCTATCTTTATTTATTAATTCCAAGCGAACTAAAAAAAGAAGCAATTCCGGATTAAACAGCGCGAAGGACGTGCATAATGTCAGGAGTGTTCCACGCTGGGAAATTGTTTGACTAACCCAGTTCCGAATCAAAAATAGCCCTCCTTCCCGTTTATACGAGCACCACCCCGATATTTTCTCTTTCCAATATTTCACGAAATTTTTGTCAAATACTTCAACGATCGCCGTTCGACGCCATGTTCCTTCACCCACGCGAAATCGAGTGCTCGCGTTGTTGCCACCCCACTCATTTTCATTTTTCTCACAGACCAAAAATCGATCGTCGTCCAATATGCGCGTAAAAAAAAAAAAACAGATAACTCGGCTTTCAAAAAATGGATCTCGAGAGATACGAGATCTTAATAAAATTATATTTACTATTTATTTTATGTACTTTACTTACTTAAACAATGATGAATAAATTATGAATAGTTTCTAGATTGTGTAAAAGAGGACTCAAAAATATACTTTTCTATATTTACCTCTTACTTAAAGAAGAGGGAAGGAGGGAGATCTTCTCTTTAATTAAGGCTTATTGATCCACACGTGTGTTCGAAATATTTTCGTTTCAATATTGCGGTACATTCCGTACTTGCAAAAGTTATATCAATCTCC